AACCCTTAAAAAAAATCAGTGAATCCAGGAGATGGGGTTTTGAAAAGATTAACAAAATACATAGGCCACTAGCCAGACTAATAAAGAAGAAAAGAGAGAAGAATCAAATAGACACAATGAAAAATGATAAAGGGGATATAACCACCGATCCCACAGAAATACAAACTACCATCAGAGAATACTATAAACACCTGTACGAAAATAAACTAGAAAATCTAGAAGAAATTGATAAACTCCTGAACAAATACACCCTGCCAAGACTAAATCAGGAAGAAGTCAAATCCCTGAATAGAACAATAACAAGTTCTGAAATTAAGGCAGTAATTAGTAGCCTACCAACTAAAATAAGCCCAGGACCAGATGAACTCACAGCTAAATTCTTCCAGAGGTACAAAGAAGAGCTGGTACCATTCCTTCTGAAACTATTCCAAACAATAGAAAAAGAGGGACTCCTCTCTAACTGATTTTATGAGGCCAGCATCACCCCGATACCAAAACCTGGCAGAGACACAACAAAAAAAGAAAATTTCAGGCCAATATCCCTGATGAACATCGATGTGAAAATCCTCAATAAAATACTGGCAAACTGAATCCAGCAGTACTTCATCCCTGGGATGCAAGGCTGGTTCAACATACGCAAATCAATAAATGGAATCCATCACATCAACAGAACCAATGACAAAAACCACATGATTATCTCAACTGATGCAGAAAAGGCCTTCAACAAAATTCAACAGCACTTAATGCTAAAAACTCTCAATAAACTAGGTATTGATGGAATGTATCTCAAAATAATAAGAGCTATTTATGACAAACGCACAGCTAATATCATACTGAATGGGCAAAAGTTGGAAGAATTCCCTTTGAAAACCAGCATGACACAAGGATGTCCTTTCTCACCACTCCTGTTCAACATAGTATTGGAAATTCTGACCAGGGCAATCAGGCAACAGAAAGAAATAAAGGGTATTCATATAGGAAGAGAGGAAGTCAAATTGTCTCTGTTTGCAGATGACATGATTGTATATTAGAAAACCCCATTGTCTCAACCCAGTATCTCCTTAATCTGGTAAGCAACTTCAGCAAAGTCTCAGGATACAGAATCAGTGTGTCAAAATCATAAGCATTCCTCTATACCAATAATAGACACACAGAGAGCCAAATCATGAGTGAACTCCCATTCGCAATTGCTACAAAGAGAATAAAATACCTAGGCATACAACTTACCAGGGATGTGAAAGACCTCTTCAAGGAGAACTACAAACTACTGCTCAAGTAAATAAGAGAAGACACAAACAAATGGAAAAACATTCCATGCTCATGGATAGGAAGAATCAGTATCGTGAAAATGACCATACTGCCTAAAGTAATTTACAGATTGAATGCTATCCCCATCAAGGTACCATTGACTTTCTTCACAGAATTAGAAAAAACTACTTTAAATTTCATATGGAACCAAAAAAGGCCCGTACAGCCAAGACAATCCTAAACAAAAGGAATAAAGCTCAAGGCATCATGCTACCTGACTTCAAACCATACTACAAGGCTACAGTAACTGAAACAGCATGGTACTGGTACCAAAACAGATATATAGACCAATAGAATAGAACAGAGACCTCAGAAATAATGCCACACATGTCCTGCCATCTGATGTTTGACAAACCTGGCAAAAACAAGCAGTAGGGAAGGATTCCCTATTTAATAAATGGTGTTGGGGAAACTGGCTAGTCACATGCAGAAAACTGAAACTGGACCCCTTCCTTACATCTTGTACAAATATCAACTCAAGATGGATTAAAGACTTAAATGTCAGACCTAGAACAACAAAAAACCTAAAAGAAAACCTAGGCAACACCATTCAGGACATAGGCATGGGCAAAGACTTCATGACTAAAACAACAAAAGCAATGGCAACAAAAGCCAAAATTGACAAATGGGATCGAATTAAACTAAAGAGCTTCTGCACAGCAAAAGAATCTATCATCAGAGTGAACAGACAACCTACAGAATGGGAGAAAATTTCGGTAATCTATCCATCTGACAAAGGGCATTTTTAAGTTTTAACAAAGGGCTAATATCCAGAATCTACCAATAACTTAAACAAATATACAAGAAAAAAACAAACAACACCATCAAAAAGTGGGTGAAGGATATGAACAGACACTTCTCAAAAGAAGACATTTATGTGGCCAACAAACATGTGAAAAAAAGCTCATCATCACTTGTCATTAGAGAAATGCAAATCAAAACCACAATGAGATACCATCTCATGCCAGTTAGAATGGCGATTTTTAAAAAGTCTAGAACCAACAGATGCTGGAGAGGATGTGTTGAAATAGGAATGCGTTTACACTGTTGGTGGGAGTGTAAATTAATTCAACCATTGTGGAAGACAGTATGGCGATTCCTCAAGGATCTAGAACAAGAAATACCATCTGACCCAGCAATCCAATTACTGGGTATATACTCAAAGGATTATAAATCATTCTACTATAAGGACTCATGCACATGTATGTTTATTGCCGCACTATTCACAATAGCAAAGACTTGGAACCAACCCAAATGTCCATTAATGATAGACCGGATGAAGAAAATATGGCACATATACACCATAGAATGCTATGCAATCATAAAAAAGGACGAGATCATGTCCTTTGCAGGGACATGGATGAAGCTGGAAACCATCATTGTCAGCAAACTAACACAGGTACAGAAAACCAAACACAGCATGTTCTCACTCATAAGTGCGAGTTGAAAAATGAGAACACAGGGAGGGGAACATCACACACCAGGGCCTGTCGGGGGTGAAGGGCTATGGGAGAGATAGCATTAGGAGAAATACTTAATATAGATGAGGGATTGATGGGTGCAGCAAACCACTATGGCATGTGTATACCTACGTAACAAACCTGCATGTTCTGCATGTGTATCCCGGAACTTAAAGTATAATAAAAAAGGTTATTGGTATTTATATACTTATAAAAGGTTTCATTAGTATATGAAATGTTTTAATGATTAAATTATGAAATTCATGTAAAGTGCTTAGAAAAATACTTGGCCCAAATTAAGTTTTGAATACATTTAATAAATTAGTTTGTTACTGCAGTTGTTGCAAGTTACTTCAAAACTTTTTAAAATAAGATGTATTAGTCATGGTTCTCTAGAGAGACAGGGCTAATAGGATAGATGCATATATGAAAGGGAGTTTATTAAGAAGTATTTACTCACATGATCACGAGGTGAAGTCCCACAATAGGCTGTTTGTAAACTGAGGAGTAAGGAAACCAGTCTGAGTCCTAAAATCTCAAAAGTAGGGAAGCTGACAGTGGAGCCTTCAGTCTGTGGCCAAAAGCCTGAGAGTGCTTGGCAAACTACTGGTGTAGGTTCAGGAGCCAACAAGCTAAAGAACTTGGAATCCAATGTTCGAGGACAGGAAGCATCCAGCACAGGAGAAAGATGGAGGCCAGAAGACTTAGCCAGTCTAGTCCTTCCATGTTCCTCTGCCTGCTTTTATCCTAGCTTCACTTCACTGGCACTGAATAGATAGTGTCCACCAGATTGAGGATGGGTCTGCCTCTCCTAGTCCAGTGACTCAACTGTTAATCTCCTTTGGCAACACCCTCACAGACACACCCAGGAACAATACTTTGCATCCTTCAATCCAATAATGTTGACACTCAATATTAACCATCACAAATGAACTATAAATGAATTCAATAAATTAAAAATGAATGAACACTTACGCTGCTCTTCAAATTCTGATAAGTGTTATTGGATCTTGCAAGTAATGCATTTCATTGTGAGGAACTGAAGATTCAATTGTAAATGTAAAATGACATGCATTAAATAACCAAAGCATAAATAGATGCTATCATATGTAGGGATAACTATAATAATATTTTTAAAAAGTATGGAGAAGTGATGCCAAGTTTGGCTACCGTAGCAAGACAATGGTAACTCTGGGGAGATATTAATGGAATCTTAAATATTGGTAGGATTTAGAACTAGATTCAAAGAGAATGTATCGGGTATAATTAAAATCAACGTGTTAAGCCTACACTGTGCAAGATGAATGGATGCAGTGAGACATCTCATCTGGTTTCATAGAGGTTACAATTTGGAGAGTAATAGAAAGCCCAATTTGCTAAATAGGAAATTGGAAAGTAACAAAATCTCTTAAGAAAGAAATGGCATAATTAAAATAGTGTTTGAGAAAGATAAATCTGGAATCTTAAAAAGTAAATGCTGAGGAGAAAAAAGAAATCAGATAGGATTTTAAAAAAATAATGTTCAAGTTGAGTTGAGTAGGTACCAAATCTGGATTATCACTGTAGTAGTGGAAGTATAGAAAAAAGGGAAAACCCGGGGTTAATTATGAAGCACTATATTAAAAATGTTATCCGAGAAAGTAGAAAACATAGTGTTACCACTTATAGAAGTTTGACAACTAGCCTATTAATAAAAAAGCCTGTTAATAAATGTCACCAGTAGGCAATTGTATTAGTCTATTCTCACACTGCTATAAAGACATATCTGAGACTGGGTAATTTATAAAGAAAGAGGTTTAATTGACTCACAGTTCTGTATGGTTGGAGAGGCATCAGGAAACTTACAAGCATGGTGGAAGGTGAAGGGGAAGAAAGTACCTTCTTCACAAGGTGGCAGGAGAGACAGAGAGAGTGAGGGGGAAACTGCCACAGACTTTTAAACCATCAGATCTTGTGAGAAGTCACTCACTATCACAGGAACAGCATGGGGGAAACCACCCCATGATCCAATCACTCCCACCACTTCCCTCCCTCGACACACAAGGATTACAATCTGAGATGACATTTGAGTGGGGACACAGAGCTAAACCATATCAGCAACGCAGATGTGTGTGTGTGTGTGTGTGTGTGTGTGTGCATGTAGGCTTGTCATGTATGGCCTTTATTGTGTTGAGGTATATTTCTTCTCCACATATTTTTTGAGAGTTTTTATTATATTATTAAAAGATGTTGGATTTTGTCAAATTTTTTTTTCTGCATCTATCGAGATGATCGTATGGTTTATGTTCTTCATTATGTTAATATAGTACACCATATTTATAGATTTGTGTTTGCGTGTTTGCACTGTAGGATAAATTTCACTTGATCAACTTCTATAGATTTATCTACAGAGGACATAACTTCTGATGATGCTGTTGTACTCACCTGTTCGACAGAAGAAGCAGGGATCCCGTTGAGGAATGCAAGAAGTGGAAAGGCAGTGTACTGGATAAGCTGCTCATCTGGCTTGGATTTAGATTTTCTTGCCTCTTCCCAAACTGGCTGAACTAGATTGTTCTTGGTAGTTTCTAATCCTTTTTTCTCAGAGTCAACCAGGAGACCTGGGTCTATGCTAAATTGTCTTCCTGATAGCACAACTTGGAAGTCCTCTAAACTGCAATCAATACTGTTAAGATAATCCAACAACTCAACCTTTCCCAAAAGACTGATGTTATCATTCAAAATGGAATCCATTATGGTCACTGGGTCTTCTGAGGTCAGACGGGATGAACCATTTAGTAGACAGCACTAGACATGAGAGGGTTGCTGTCATCACTGCCTGAACTTAGGGATTCGCTGGCTGGTTCACTCTGCTCTCCACTCTGAATGACAGGTGCATACTCATCTTCATTGTCATCTTCAGCGGTGACAATATCAGGATACTGGGTACAATTGGAGGGACCATATATAACATCCTGGATATATATACATACACACACATATATATGTGATATAATGTATGGATATGATATAATATCCCAGTTTCTGGAATAACTGGGATATTTTCTTCATTTGCATTATCATCAGTAACATTGTAAATAATGATGTCATCTGAAATCATCTCCCTTGGCTTTAAAACTTCAGTCCTACTGTGTGGAACTTTATGATGGTAATTATCAGTTGGTTCTTTGACTATGTGCTGAAACAGATTCTTCTTTTGGGCTCCATTAGTGTTTAAAGTAGAGGCCTTTTATGTTTTAAACTCACAAGTTGGTTATTTTGAACCAATGTAACAGTAAACTGGACAATCTTTCGAATAACTTGTTGCTGTTGTGCATGCTTTGCTCGTAATTCTGACACCTCCTTCCAAAGGGACTCATTCTCACTTTTTAATTCAGAAAGCCTGTACTCAACAGTTTCCTGTTTTATTTGAACCTTCTGAGCACTACTTATGATTTTAAAAAAAAAAAAATTTCCTGACGAATTTTTATTTTCTTCTGGTTTTGAAGATGAAACCTTCCTTTTAATGTTCTCCAACAAGTCATCCTGTCCTTGTTTGAAATAAGGATGCTGAAATTCTACAGGACCATCTCTTTCCTGCTTTACAGTTCCAGAGTCGATATGTATTGCTTTACGGAAACCATACATATTCAGTTGCCTCACAAAGTTTGCCATGTTATTGTCCTTGAAATATTTGGGAAGAATTTCCTTTGCAAATCGTTGCTCATCTAAGACCAGAAAGACTTTGGTCATTCTGCTTCCAGGTGATGATCTCGTTAGTGTGGGTTTCCTCCACAAGCGTCCACATCTTGCTGAGGAAAGCCGGCACGTTCGAACTCTGCTTCATTGTTAACGCAGCGCAGGGATTCCAAACTCTACACCCAAACCCTGTGGTAGCGTCGACGGCAGCGACTGGAATCATTTATTAAAGATTCAGTTGTTGGACCAACTGGATATCATTGCTTTAGAAAGGTGAGTAACTGTCATCCAGGATATAATCTGTGCTCTTCCTTAGCAACAAATATATGAAGCAATTACAGGTCGAAGTACAAGGGTTCAAAATGGGAATGTCAGCCACCACTGTAAAACCTATCAACTCACTCTCAACTTTTTTTTTGCTGGATGCCTGCATGACATTTGTCCCTGCTGAATGAATATTCTTACTGCTTAACAGAGGGATAATTTTACTAGGGGAACACAACAATAGATAAAATGAGCTCTAAATCCAGTCTGTTTACTGAACGCATTCATTTTGCTGAACCAATAGGTTAAAAAAAAAAAAAGCTTTGTATTCTCTTGGGTAAATTATTCTTATTAGCAACAGATATTAACAGAAGGAGTATAGCAGTAACGTAGAACATTTTCCAGAAACCCTTCTAATACTGCCATGACTCATTGTAAATATTAATGAACAACCACAGCAATTAATCACAGGCAGGACCACAGGGTCTCGGATCCTTCAACGGTGAAGTTTGTGTCACCCTACCAGCAAACAACTTCAAGATATTGAGGCTGATGTTCAGAAAAAAGGTAATATGGAGTGGATAAATATCAATATTGCCTTTAACTAGCTTCATATATGACGACTTTATGAGCCATCATTATTTTCTCCTCTTTCCACCCATTCCCCTTTTCTTCCTATTTTACATATACGCATTTATAGCAGTTAAAGAGTTATCAAAGACAAATTATGATTTTTTTGCTGATATAGAACAGTTCTTTAAATTATTTTGAACTATATACAGTGACTGATGAGAAGTTACTAACTTAATACATAACACCTGAATAGACAACTTTAAAGCGATTAAAATTACAATATAAACCCAACTTTAGATCCAGTTAATCATTTGGCCTTTACTTGATGGATTAGAAGGAATTTGTTGGATCTTGCCCATATCACGGTTATGCTATTCTATCTTTTCTTATCAATTACTATTGAGAAAATATAGTTAAAAAGTCAGCAAGGAGAGATTTGGGTGAATGGAATTCTGAAAGTAAATATGAAATTAACTTTATGACTAGGACCCAAAATTTTCCTACAAATTGCATTATGAACCACAACATTTCCTTTCATATCTATTTCTATTTGCTTATCAAAAACTGTGCTATAATGATAAATTGAAAATGCTTCTTTTTCAGTGAAGAAATTAAACTTAAAAGATCCTTGTAATTTTTCCTAAAGAATGTCTCATATGTACTTTAAGTCCTCTTAGACTTTTCAAAAAAATCTAGAGTCTCTGAGGTCTTCACGGATCTTGCTTCTAGATCCTAGAGGTCTTATTAATTAATCAACTTGTTTTCTTCTCTCCCAGAGGTACTGTCTCCCAGAAGACAAAGGAAATCTCAATACTGCAATTATATGAAAAAGTTATAGCAAAACCAAAGCCCTCATGGATAACTGCTGTTGATATTTTGGCAGTATTCAGAAATGCCAAAGAGCTCAAGACCTCTACGTGCATATCCATGGCAATCTGTCCTCTTGCCTTGAAAGCGTCCAAGCTTCTGACAATGCAGGATAGATAATATCCCATGGATTGATTTCTCAGGTTCACTTTGCATAACTATAGACTATAGTTCCTGGAATTACTTCAGTTTTGGCAGAACATGATTTGAAAAATTCACCTTGACTCTCTTATGAAAAGGACTATAAAACTTTTTAGGAAATCAACTACCAAAAAAAGGACTATTTTTAAAATAAAGCAATGAGGCACATAAGCCACATTTATCTATAGGAAGAATCTAAAACTGTAATAATAAATGTGTATTTGTGGGAAATGATTCATTTTATTTCAAAGTAATGATTTTTCAGTACTTATAATTATGACAGTCATTAATTAACTTTGTTTATCCTTTCTAGAATTAAAACAATAAACAGAGGAAAACATTGGAACTCTGCTGCTTCATTTAACAGAATCTGACAAGTTACTAAACAATACAAGGTAAAAGTAACTTTTAAAACATGTAAGTTTTTGAAAAATAAGTCACAAACTGACTACTTGTTCTTGGCTTCTCCGGGAAGAACTCTCTTTTCCAGTAAAAAAGGTAATCAGCAATGCATTTATTAACATTTATAATGTTATAATGTTTATAACAGTTGATGATATAAATTTATTTTGATAAATTTGTTTTTTTCATTCTTCTCTGATTCTGCATGCTCATTATCATTCAGCTTGTTTCTATGTAATAAATATGTACTGAATTATTGTCATTCACTAGATTCAGAACATTATGTTGACAATACGCAGCAAACAAGCTGAGTTTGATGTTAAGGATATTATTTTCAAGTGAGGAATAATTAACATTTAATAGTAATATTAAATTACAATGTTGGAATGAGTTTGATAGGAATAAATCTTAGAAATTAAAATAATCTGTTTTGCCTCTAGATGAGAATAAAACAAAGATAAATGATATATATTATTTTTCAAAAAATGATTTTTCATGCTTACTTCAGTCAACTTTCTTTCACTTCTTAAATATCTTACACCTTTCCAGACCATAAGTGCAATCTAATGTAAGCTCTTACTACTTTTTAATTATTTACATATCTAATTTTTGATAAAATGGGTGAATATTTTATTTTCAACATTTAATACAGTCTTAAATAATGGTAACATCTTATGCAACTTTTCTCTTAATAATCTTTTTTCTCAGGCAAAATATTCCATTTCTCCAAGATTTCTTTCTCTCTCTAAACTTTCAACAGATTGATTCTTACCCTCAACTGAGAATGTTTTGTCCAAAAACGAACGTATATATTATTAATTTTCAACCTAATAAGCATTATTTGGTATGAATAGTGGGACTGAGCACTGAAGATTTTAATGAAAATAATGGCTAACATTTACTGAATACTTACTTTACCATAAATGGTGCTAAGTGATTTATGTACATATGTCATTTTCTATTCCCAAGAAAACTTTGAGGACTCTTATTTCCACTTTATATATGAGAATACAGTATCATAGAGAGAGAGCATAAGTAACTTGTCCAAGGTCCCATTTAGAAAGTGAGGGAAGCAGAACTGGAGCCTAGATTTATTTAAACCTAAAACCTGTACTAACCACTGCAGTATTAGATAGATAGTTTTTATGTTTTTCTCTGTTTCTGCATGATCATTATCATTCAACTTTTATCTATAATAAACATGTATTGATTAATTGCCATTTACCAGACACATAATGTTATGCTAACAATATATGGAGAACAAATTGAATTTTGTCTTAAGTAAGCTATTGTCAAGTGAAGAATAATTAATATGTAATCTCAATATTAAAATATGGTGATAGTTGGTCTCTTCAAATTGTCTTTGGATGAGATGTTTTGACCCAGGTTGAAGAATAAGAGATTTTATTTGGAAATATGAAATTTTAACTAAACTCTAAAGTGCAAGCAGAAGTAAGGTAGGGGAACAGGAAGGGTCCTTTATTAAAAGCTGATATTGTACAGTGATTAATCATTAATGATGATTAAAAGCATGGATTCTGAAGCCAGTTTTCTTGGCTTCAAATCTTGATTCTGACTCTAGTAAGTGAATTTCAGCAGACTTCATTTCTCTGTACCTCAATTTCCTCATCTGTAAACTTGGGAATATAATAATACCCACTTCATGTTATTATTGTATGGATTAAATGAGCTACTATGAAAGCATTTAGAAAAGTGTCTGGCACATGAAAAGTGCCATATACATGTTTGTTATTATTGTTGCCTGGACAGAATCATGCACAGAAGGCCCTTAGGACAAAGAAAGAGTGGCTTGTATTGTTAACATATGAAGTTAAAAAATCTATTTGAGCAGTAATGAGTTAATAATGGCTACAAAAGTTGTATTCAGGGCAAACAAAAGTATAATCAACAATGCCCCCATATGTATCCTTTGCAGTATTAATTTCTAAAGTAACTCCTTTATCTGGAGAAGAGTTCTACTGTAGATCTCTTTTTAAAGAACTGCAAGTCACATGGACACATAGAGGGGGAAAAACACACTGCAGCCTTTTGGAGAGTGAAGGGTGGGAGGAGGGAGAGGATCAGGAAAAATAACTAATGGGTACTAGGCTTAATACTTCAGTGATTAAATGATCTGTACAGCAAAACCCAATGACACAAATGTACCTATGTGACACACCTGCACTTGCACCCCTGAACTTAAAATAGAAGTTAAAACAAAGATCTGCAAGTCTTGGGATCAAGAAATGAAAGGAAGTTTTCTTTATGAAAGTGCTTTGATGGCCCATCTGGGACAGAAATTTTTGAATGTGAGTACTAATAATCTGTGCTTGGTTGTGCACACCTTTTATCTTAGCGGGTACATAACATCCATCAGAATCCAGTTTCCATGACTTGTGAAAGGTAATTGCACTTCACAAGTAGTTTTTTTTTTCTTTTTTTTTTTTTTTTAACTCAGTCACTTCCTCTATATTTGTTGGTACTCCAAATTAAGTCCCCGTTTTCCTAAACTTTACTACTAAAACCCCAAATATCTCCCAACCCAAACTACCTAATGTGCTTCCTAAAGTCATTTATTAAATTGGTTGTGCTCTCTTCCAGTCACTGCTTCATGATGTTGAAGTTACTGTGTGAATCATGAGTGGGAAATGTATAGAGAAGTGATACTTGGAAATGAGAAAGGCATTTGGGTAGAAAGGAATTGTATTAGGTGCAGAGGCAAAAAACCTAACTCTACCACTTAAAGAATTAAAAAATACAACTAATCTTTGGTTTCAACAGCAATTGGTTGGCTTTAAGTCACAGTATACTTATGAGGCTAAAATTAATAATAAATAATAAAATTAATTTAAAAATAGCTTCGTAAATCTTAATATCATAAGAGATTATTTGTAATGCTAGGATCCAAACCAAGAGTTCATTTGTATATTTTGCCCTGTGCCTCTCAACAGGTTTCTACCATGGGTGACAGGGGAGCAAGCAATCACTCAGAAATGACTGACTTCATTCTTGCAGGCTTCAGGGTCCATCCAGAGCTCCACATTCTCCTCTTCCTGCTATTTCTGTTTGTTTATGCCATGATCCTTCTAGGGAATGTTGGGATGATGGCCATTATTATGACTGATCCTCGGCTAAACACACCAATGTATTTTTTCCTAGGCAATCTCTCCTTCATTGATCTTTTCTATTCATCTGTTATTGCACCCAAGGCTATAATCAACTTCTGGTCTGAAAGCAAGTCTATCTCCTTTGCAGGCTGTGTGGCCCAGCTCTTTCTCTTTGCCCTCTTCATTGTGACTGAGGGATTTCTCCTGGCGGCCATGGCTTATGACCGCTTTATTGCCATCTGCAACCCTCTGCTCTACTCTGTTCAAATGTCAACACGTCTCTGTACTCAGTTAGTGGCTGGTTCCTATTTCTGTGGCTGCATTAGCTCAGTTATTCAGACCAGCATGACATTTACTTTATCTTTTTGTGCTTCTCGGGCTGTTGACCACTTTTACTGTGATTCTCGCCCGCTTCAGAGACTATCTTGTTCTGATCTCTTTATCCATAGAATGATATCTTTTTCCCTGTCATGTATTATTATCTTGCCTACTATCATAGTCATTATTGTATCTTATATGTATATTGTGTCCACAGTTCTAAAGATACACTCTATTGAGGGACGTAAGAAGGCCTTCTCCACCTGCAGCTCTCACCTCGGAGTTGTGAGTGTGCTGTATGGTGCTGTCTTTTTTATGTATCTCACTCCTGACAGATTTCCTGAGCTGAGTAAAGTGGCATCCTTATGTTACTCCCTAGTCACTCCCATGTTGAATCCTTTGATTTATTCTCTGAGGAACAAAGATGTCCAAGAGGCTCTAAAAAAACTTCTAGAGAAGAAAAATATTAGTCTTTGATTATTTCTCTTGCACTGATTGTATTGTGGCTATTTATTTAATACACCTGTGGTCATTAATAAAAGTTACTCTCCTGAATGTCATAAAAATACTTTTAGTAGATTTTTTCATGGGATGTACTCTTTCCATATTTTACTTTTTACCCCCCAAGACATCATTAATTCTGAAAATCTTGGATATTGGAGCTATCCTGGGCATGAGGGAAGTATTTTTATGATAAACCCTCTTACTGGTCTTCAACATTTTATTTCACAGAATTTATATCTATTGATTCTTGTCGCATAATGTAGAACAATATTTTTTATTTTGTTATAGTGCTTCAGCAAAATTTTGTCTGGTGTTTGTCTTTGGGATTGCCCATCCATCCTACACACAATCATGGGTAGTTGACAAAGATGCCCAGATTATTTTTAAATAAAATATGTCTTTAATTTTGTAGCTAGTTTCATTACCATGCTAAATGTGTATTAAGTTTTCACCTTGATCAAATATTTTATGTGAGCTACATAGAAAGGAAGTGCTAATAATAAGACACAAACTATAAGTAATCTTTATACATTAATTTGGAAAACTTTATACTTCATTATTGTGGAGTGCTCTAAGGTACTGCTAGGTGCTGGGTCCCAGTGCAAAGAACTAAAATAGGAAATAGAGATCTTCAAACATTTTGAGCCATCATTCCCTCAATTTTGATTTTCATGATTTTGTCTTGTGTTAATAATTGCTAAGGAATAATTAATAAAGGTATAGAATCAGGGAAGTCATCAAAAAAGATTATGATCCAAAATTTACTTATTGATGCCTTTTCATATCGGTATATATTTGATTAACCTTATTGAATATCTGTATAATATGTTCTGGCCTTATGGTGGGCTCAGGGATAAATAACCTCATTCTTTTGGAAGTTTAAAAGTTAGTGCGATATTCAAATCCTTGGGCATAAAACCAAAATCCAGACATTTTGCCAAAGGTACTCAAAGAGATCACAAAAGTGGGGTGCCTTAAAGAAGGTGGTTGGTAATCAGAGAAACCCTTCTTGGGCTACATGAAACATTGATCAAAGGGGGATTAGATTGAAGTCAGGAAACCTGCTACAGTGGTTTATAATATTGATGTGGGTTTAAAGGTATGCCGATATTAGTGAACAAAAGCAGATTTTTAAAACTGCAGGTAAATGAAGAGAATGTACAAAAGAAGGTATGTCACCCCATTTTTGAAATTGAGTGTGTGTGTGGTCATGGTACAAACAGATAAAAAGTATAGGAGCTCTCAGAAAACCTGAAATAAAGGGGGAACTTTCTTGCCTTGATGAACATGTATAAAAAACCTACAGTGAACATTATATTAAATGACAGGAAACTAGAAGGTTTCTTGCTATTATCAGGAAAAATGCAAAGATGCCTTCTGTCACCACGTCTTTTCAATATTTTAATGAACGTGCTAGCTAATGCAACAAGAAAAGAAAAAGAAATGAAAGTGTTATGAACTGCATGGTATTCCCTCAAAATTCATGCAGTGAAGCCCTAAACCCTAGTACTTCAGAATATGACTTTAATTAGTGATAGGGTCTTCAAAGATTTAATTGAGTTAAAATAAGGCTTTAGGATAAGTCCTAATTCAATATCATTTGTGTCCCTATAGAAAGAGGAGAATAGGGCACACAGAGGGACATGAGGGATGCATGTGCACAGAACATCAACCATGTGAAGAATCAACAAGAGGGCAGCCATCTGCAAGCTGAGGAAAGAGGGCTCAGAGAAAACCAACTCTGCTAAAACCTTGATCTTGGACTTCTAGCCTCCATTACTAAGAAAATTAATTTATGTTGTTTAAGAAGCCAGTCTGTGGTGTTTTATTATGTGATCTCCAGCAAATTTATACGAATAGATCTATAAATTAGAAAAGAAGAGAAAACATTCCTTGTGTGTAGATAATATGATTATCTATGTAGAAAATTAAAAATAATAAAAAACCACCCTTCTGAAACTAATAAGTGGTTATACCAAAGTTGCTGAATATAAGGTTAATATACAAATGCCAATTTCTTTTCTACATACCAGCAATGAATATTTGGATTTTAAAATTAAGAACAGAATTCTGTAGGTGACATAAGCAAGAAGGCAGTATAGGAATTTCTAGCCCTGGTTCCCTCACAGAAACACTAATTTAACAATGAACCAAAATACCTTTATGAGAATTCCAGAATGCACTTAAGAAGTTGCAGTACCCCCAGGCAACCGCAAAGCCAAGGAAAGTTACAATGACATGGGTAAGAAGAGAAATTTCACTTTGTTCACATCAGCTACTCTACCAAGCTGGCACAGCTCTGCACTAGGACAGCACCCTGCATCATGACTTCTCCCTTGGGAACAAAGATAACAGTGGAGAATCCAAGCCAGGATCCAATATTCTAGCTTTCCAGAGGGCTGCAGGAAGGACTAATTTCTGTCATTCTCCACTAAGAGCACTGATGTAACTAGCATAGTTTTAATGCCTGGGGGCTTCTGAGAACAAAGGAGAGTGTGTATGTGGGGTGGGAGTGGAGGTGGTTTGCTGTAGCTAGCATGGTTAGGCAAAATCAGAAAGGGCCACATAACTTGAGCCTTCTATCTCAGAGGCAAGGAGAGTGGCAGAGTGTACATCTGGTTGTAGGCTTTTTGGAAGGCTGCTTTAAGGAATGGAATCAGTTTTGCCTGACTAAGGATGCTGATGAGGAGCAGCATACTTTGGATACCTGGTGACCACTGAAATCAAGGCAAGACAGTACTAGAGAAAAAGAAACCAGTAATTGGTTCTGAGAAACTGCATGAACAGGTTCAGAGAAGTCACATTTTCCCCCAAAAGTTTTCACATATCCCTGGAATTTCTAGCAGGGCTGATTGGGGAGGGTCTCTCATACAAAACCAGTTTGTAAAGGCTGGTAAAGGTGGCTGTTTTTTCAAATGTGTGGGTTCCAGCATAAAGTTATGAGACACATGACACATATGAGACATATGAGACACATGAAGAAAGCGATAAGCAAAGAAACAAAGCTCAAAATATGAACAAAATAAATCTTCAGTGACAATTCTAAAGATTTAGAGATATAAAAAGAATTGGATTTCCGGGGCCTATCATGGGGAGGGGGGAGGGGGGAGGGATTGCATTGGGAGTTATACCTGATGTAAATGACGAGTTGATGGGTGCAGCACACCAACATGGCACAAGTATACATATGTAGCAAACCTGCACATTGTGCACATGTACCCTACAACTTGAAGTTTAATAATAATAAATAAATTAAAATAAATAAATAAATAAATAAAAATTAAAAACAAAAAAGAATTGGAGATATATAAATTATCTGAAAAGAGTTCAAAATAGCTATCATAAAAATGCTCCATGACTAAAGAAAACTATGCATAACAAAATGAGAATATTAACAAAAGATATAAAATATAAAAAGGACCAAAAAAAATTTTAGAGCTGAAGAATACAATACTTGAACTAAAATTTACTAGAGTTTTATAGGCGACTTCACAGAACAGAAGAAAATCAACAACTTGAAGAAAGGCCATGTGAAATTATTCAGTAAGAGTAACAGCAACAAACAATAATAAACAGTAAAGAAAACCTAAAACACATCATCAAGTGAAAGAATATATAAACTATTAAGATTCCACAAGGAAAAAAGAGAAGAAGCAAAAAGCTTATTTAAAGAAATAGTGGTGGAAAACTGCCCAATTCTGGGGAGGGAAATGAACATCTAGGTACAAGAATCCCAATGGACTCCAAGTAGGATGATCCCAAAGAAATCCACACAGATAAATATTATAATTAAATTTTCAAAAATTGAGGACAAAGAGAATCTTGAGAGCAGCAAAAGAAAAGCAACTAATCACTTACCAGGATATCTTCATAAAACTGTAGTATATTTCTCAGCCAAAACCTTGCAGACTAGAAGAAAATAAGATGATACAGTTCAAAGTATTGGAAGAAAAAAGCGCCGATTAAGAATACCATACCTGGCAAAATATTTTTGAAAAATGAAGAATTAAAAACTTTCTCAGACTAACAAAAGTGAGAGTTCATCATCAACACATCTGCCTTTAAAAATACTGAAGTCCTTCAAATTGAAATGAAAGTACATTAAACCGCAGCATGAAAGCATATGAAAGTATAAAGCTTGCTGGTAAAGGTAAATATGTAGAAAACACATAACACTTTGATATTGTAATGGCGATGCACAAATAATTTTTATTCTGGTATAAAAGTTAAAAGACAAGAGTATAAAAATATGTTAATGGATACACAATATTAAAAAATGTAAGTCATGATGTCCGTAACATAAGGTGTGTGTGTGGGAGGGAAGAATGAAAAGTGTGGAGTATTTGTATATGATTGAAATTAAGTGGTTATCAGCTAAAAATAGATTGTTATAATTGTAAGATATCTTATGTAAACCCATCCCCCCCATGCCTGCCACTGGTAGCTATGCCTGCAGGCAAAGGCTGCTAGAACTTTAAACCTAGCAATCCCACTTCTGTGTGAACACAGGTGGTGGGTACAGCTTCCCACTGTCCTGTGAAGCACCTGGATGGCATCGTGGGTGACCCCACTCACTCCTGCCACTGGTAGCCAGGCGGGCAACACCTGCTAGAGTTTCCAGCCCAGTGATCCCTCTTCTACCTGAACTCAGCCAGCAAGTTCAGCCTCCCACTGTCCTGGGAAACACCCAGACAGCCAGACACATGACCCCACCCACCTTTTCTGCTGGTAGCCAGACAGGCAATACAAGCTAAATCTTCCAGCCCAGCAGTCCTGCTTCTATGTGAACTCAGCCAGAGGGTGCAGCCCCCTGTTGTCTTGGGAAGCACTCAGATGGCAGGGCGGGTGACACCTGCTGCTGGCAATGCCTGCTAGACTCCACACACCCCTGCCTCTTGTAGCCAGGCAAGACATGCCTGCTATAGCTTTTAGCCCAGCAGTTACACTTCTGCTTGAATTTACCAAGGGGTGCAGCCTCCTATTGCCTTGA